ACTCAATTTTGCCGAGATCTACCGCACGCTACACAACCAACTATTTTAGAGTCTTTTTCGATAAATCGCGATAGTGTCACTGTTAATTTAAGTTCTGCCACAATTTCCATCTAGATTTACTACCTTTATACAACTATCGGTAGTAGAATAAATAATAAATAACATAAAATAAGCTCCGTAAAAACTGACAAATCCACAAAATTTCAAACATTGCCTGGAAACTTATATGGTGAAATTTTGATAAAATAATTTAGTACTCACTAAAAACACGGTATGTCGCTAGTGGTAGGAAAAATAATTTTTAGAGGTTACTAGTTTATTTGGTTGCCTGTGATATGCATATACAGGGTGTTTCCTAATTAATCTAAAAAATAAAAAATCGTTAGAAAACGGCTTAAGGCGGGCTCTTAATAACTATATTTATTTTTTTCTCGGCAACCGTTTGATGAACAAGAAAAACTCAAAAGATCAATTTTGTTGAAAAAGGATGGCCAGTCAAGAAAAAAATATTTTTTCTTTAAAAAAGCAGTAGTGTACCATTTATTTTAAGCAAAATATCGATTTTTTTTTTAATTTTTAACACACTGTAGATCAGAAAGGAAGTACTTTAGACCTAATGGTTATATAAACATTGTTTTAAGAACACATGAGGAATCACACCACAATTTTTTAGACTAATTAGAAAACACCCTGTATATTGTCAACTTGACAATGATTGTTGATAAATCAAAAAATACCTTTTCTGTGAAAAAAACCCGATTTTCGCAAGAAAAATTTTGGTTTTTATTGAATTTGGGCCTACGTCTGCAAATACTGGTATGTTTTTTAATATTCTATCTATCTAAATTTTAAATATCATAGTCAGAAATAGTTTTATTATTTATTAACTGTAAAAATGGTATACTTATAAGTTTCATCAAATATTGTGAGTTACTTTCTACCTTGTAGTCAAAATTTATATTTAATAAACTGTAAAATATATATTATATTCTTATGTTTTATTAAAGTTACTCTGATATACTAATATATCAGTGTAACTTTAAAACTAAATCCTTTGAAATCAAATATAAACATAAAAAATATTTACAGCAGAAAAGGCGAAGGCGCTGGGTTAAACGTAGTCTCTACTAAGAACACGGAGGGGCGCTTTGACCCAAAATTTTACTATTAAGTTTCATATCTATCTTAATAGAAGATTATTTTCTTTTATCTATGATTTCAAATCAAATTCAAATGTGTCAAATGAATCGTCAAACAGAACTGTCAAGGATCCCCACCCTAGAGAGCTTTTTCCGCCCACCATGCATGAATACATGGATAGCATTATGCTCCTTCCTTTGTCTTCTTATTCAAAGGTTTACAGTAATAAAAATTTGCCTAACAAAGAAAAAAATGCTTAACGTTTCGGAAAGTTTTCTCTTTCCGTCGTCGGAAGCAAAAAAAAATATAAAGAATCAAGTAAAAAACAATTTAAAATATTTAAATTGAACTATTCGAGAACACTTTACTTTTTAAAACAGATACGTCTACAACATAGACAAACAAATAAAAAGAGACTGACAAATCCCATGGTAAAGAGTGGGACCGCGTTCCCGTAGCGCAACTCAGAATAACAATTTTGAAACCAATTAGCAGGACCATGGCAGAACGTACGTCTTTATTGCTGTCTTTCTTTATTATGTGTGCTTTATATGAAAAAGAAAGAGATAGGTATAAAACGTATCGTAAGACATTATCGCACATTCTGGCTGGCGGAAAATTTAAATTAGCCATTATTAATAGTATTCTTTCATTCTGAAACTGAAAATTTTCACTCAAGGGAACGTGGTGGGAATAAATCAGTTTAAGTGAAAATTTGCAGTTTCTTTCAGAACGAAAGAATTCTACTATTATAAGGGAAATTATAAAAAAAGCAAAAAATGTACTGTTTTATAAACATATTTATTTATACATAAAAATAAATAAACTTTTTATAATGTAATAACAAAAAATAACAGTGTTTATTCCACCCACCTACCAATTTTAAATGCAGAAGAACTGACTGTTGCAGGAAACGATCGGCCAATTTTTTTAAAGGGCATTAAAAATCTCGTTTTCGAAAAAAACTGCCTAATTGCAATAACAAAGTGAATATCCAAGCAAAGAAGACTTTAAGAGAATCATGATCCTGAACCAATTTCAAGTCCAGCTTTAATCCTAAAACAAAAGTAAAATAGGTATATTAATAAAGTTTCTGGTTACTATAAACCAGCTATAAACTACCTACCCCAAAAATGAAAAAAATTAATTGTATTAATTTGTTATGTTAAGAGATGTTCCAAATATTTTTGACACTACTACTTCTACTTTTTTCTTAATAAGATGATAAATATAACATACTTACTTTTATTTTACCGGGTGTCTTTAACATATCTATCAGAGAAAGGGGGCACCAATACATATAGAAAATAGATGATACTGGCTCCTGCAGCAAATAAAATAACAAATAGTATAACGTAAAATTATAAGTAACAAATTATAAATACCTATATGGAACAAAGGAATTTGTTCCCTATCCATATTCATAAGTCAATAAAATGGAGAGTTTAGAAAAAAGGTAAATCACCAAAAGAAAAATTAACAAACATGACGAATTGTCATGATGTTGTCATCTTGGTTGTCATGATAACGAAAACGAAAGGCGATTGTTATAATTTCTATTTAGAAATTACGTTTTATATGGCTGCTTCTTTCTCTCTTGTTATATTAGAATGAGATAGTGGGCCCAATAGTCGCAATGCGCAGATCAACATAAATAGAACGAAATTTTGCGTTCTGAGTTGCGCTACGGGAACGTTGTCCCTCTCTTTGCCATTTAATTTGCCAGTCTCTTTTTACTTGTTTGTCTATGGTCTACAAGAAATCGTTGACGTTCTGTTAAAATGACATTATATTAAGTTAAACTTCAAAATTAACAATTACTACGTGATAACAATTACTTAATAAGGTAAAACCAAAAAGCCCAAACTTTCTGTATGATTATTTTTAAATTTTACGTATGTTATGTTTATTTATGTTATGTTCTTTAAAATCAAAGAAGCGATTGCCATACATTACTAACATCTACAGAGCATGAGCAATACATTTATTTTTATTAGATTGAATTAAAAAAGCCTCTTTTATTTTTCTTTTAGAGGCTATCTCTTCTTTCATTATAATTTTGGCGTTATTAAAATTTATTCTGTGCCCTGTGTCCCATGAATACTGACAAATCTTAGATTTGTGAAAATCTCCCTTTCTTAAATAATCTTTATGTTCTTTAATTCTAACGTTTAAGGGTCTAGATGTTTCACCAATCTAAAATTTATCGCATTCACAGGGTATTTGGTATATTACTATTTTTTTCGTCTACTCGCCATTTAAACCTGTGTATTTGTATGTGTTCGTTATTTACGATATTCCCGGGCGGTAGCAGCACCGGCGGAGAATGCACCAAGCCTATACAAAATTCTCAAGTTATTTATTCTAAGAGCTACAGATGCCCGATGCACTATTGCCGGACCCTGTATTTAGGAATAGGGAAATACACTTTTAACAGGCTGCCAATCAAAAAGTTACCGCAACTATGTTTAATAATAATAATAAATGATTTTGGAGACGATATTACGTTCATAAAATTTGTTGACCATTTATATGTCAAATTAGAGCTCTTTTTTAAAAAGAAGTAGAAAAAGGACTCAAAGTCTCGGTCTCAACGTTTATTATTAAGTTAAACAGTGACACGTGTTTTGCTCATATGAGCATCATCAGACAAATAAAATTAAAGTCAATCCACACACACGTTCACCATTTTACATTTATTATTTAGATATATTCATTATAATCTAACCTAACAACGCTTGTGTTGTTTTAATATGTAAAATGTGAACGTGTGTATGGATTGACTTTAATTGTATTTGTCTGATGATGCTTGTATGAGCAAAACACGTGTCACTGTTTAATTTAATATAAACGTTGATGATAAATATAAACGTTGAGACCGAGACTTTGAGTCTTTTTTTACTTCTTTTTAAATTAACCAGGTCTCTTTGAGTAGAATGGACGCCTTCTTTAAAATTATTTTTGTCATACGCTCCCAAAAACAGCTATTTTACGGACTCATTTCAGTCCGTAAAATGTTTCTTTTTCGGCCTAGGCCGTAAAGGTCGTCATGGCAACCTTTATGGACTAAAATGTCTAAATTCGTTATTTGGTTGTTTTATTTTGTCATTCGAAATTTGTCACAAAATCACATAAAATTATACATATATTTATAATTAAATTATTAAATACTAACAATATCAAAAGCTAAGTTATTTGTTTAAAGTAAGTACCTAGGTACTTACTTTTTCGTGGAAATAATTTAGCAATACATCTTCATTTACAACGAATACGCCATTTTTGTCTTTCCATTCATTAAAAACATCATATTCTTTCTGGTAAATGGCACGAGACTTCACAGGAAGTAAATCCAACACGATTTCTTTGGCCTTATTAGCAATATGTTCGGGATTTTGGAACATTTTAAAATTGTTGATGAATTTGTGTGATTTTGTGACAAATTTCGAATGACATGTCAAAATGCGATGAAATAAACAAACTCGTTACTAAGATATGAATTTATAAGCCAACTTTTTCAAACATTATAATTTCAAATATGGAAAATTTGCAAATATGCGTTCTAAAAAACTGTAAAAAGCGTATGACAAAAAATAGTGTATGTAACACGTACCTAAATTATGTTTTTTAGGACTCATCTACTATTTCGGACTCGGCTAACGCCTCGTCCGCAAACAGTAATGATTCGTCCTAAAAAACATCATTTTAGGTACTAGTTACATAAATAGCTATTTTATTCTCTGCATGATGTTATAAGGGTGTCTATCAAAAAGTTGTCGCAAATAGGGGTTGCCAGTGTCGAGAGGGTGGTAAAGCAACCATACACCGATTCCTAACGAACCGTCCAATTATCGGTTTTTTAGGGTATTCAGAAAATTAAAAGCCATCATGAAAAGATTGCTGCTATGGAACTAGAGTTAGGAATTCAAACTGACGAATTCCAGACAGACCTAAACTTTGGTTTAGTACATGTTGTCTACAGATGGGCAAATCACGAGGTACCATATTGTAAATTAATTTTATATTTTAATGAAAAATGAATTTTTAGGAGTTTTCGGAAATAATGAAACTTACTGATATTCAGGAAGGTATCATAGTCAGATGTATCCAACAGCTTAACGAAACTATAATAGACGTCAGGGATGCGGCAAAAATTATCGGAGATCCGGCATTGCAAAAGAAAATGGAAGATGCCTCTGCTAGTATTAAGAGAAATATAGTTTTTGCCGAAAGTTTGTACACACAGGATTTTAAACTGTAATAAATAGTAATTTTTTTAATTGTTCTATTATTATACATACAATTCAGTCAAAAGAAAAATACTAAAATTACAAATTTTCTGATCAAATGAAAATGACGTCACAATATGGATATTACAATGTTGAAATGAATTCTAAACAAAATGAAAGCTTTCTTAGGAACTTATATGATAGTTATTAGGTTTGACATTTTAAATAATTCATGTACAGCTGGCTGTGACGTTTCAATAATCAAATTTGATCACCTGGCATGAGATTGATGGTTGGTTCATATTTCCAGTATTAGTCCTAACCTTACCCTTAATATTAGCTCTAAGAAATTATCCGTAACACCTTAAGAAAATGTCGTTCATACTTTTCACACTTGTCTAAGAATATTCTAGTGTGCGCTTGGGCACACTTGAAACATGTTTTGAGTTAAAGTAATGTTCTGAATGATAATCTCAATAATAACATTCAGGGTGCATCCACGTCATCCTAGAAAAAGCGGAACGGCGCTGGCGTATCGGCGTAACGACCTTGTATCGATTTTCAGCAATAGCCAATAGAATTGCCGGAAATCGATACAAAGTCGTTACGCCGATACGCCGTTCCGCTTTTTCTAGGATGATGTGACTCTCACTTATTTGTGAATAAGGAAAATAATTATTTCTAGACTAAAAAATAAGCAATTATTAACATTTGAAGGTTCCAGGGGGAAAACATGGTAAAGACAAATTTCTTAATTTTAGGGTTTTACAATATAGTAGCTCTAACTGGCCCCTACAAAATGTATAAACTCTGCAGGGCGATAAACTGTTAAATCCTAAGATATATGCCTATTAAAATATATATATACTACAGGGAAAGAACCTGAACCACCAGCCGTCCTGGCCTCTCCTGTAAAATCAGTAAAATGGCGGTCATCATGGTTTCCCCTGGACCCTTCATTTATAAACCGTCAAATTCAATGCCAAAAATTATTTGGAAAATTCTAAAAACCTTTAGTTTTAAGCATGCGCCAATCAATTTTGAATTGGCATTAGCCCTAAGGTTACCTGGTGATCAAGTTATATAATCAGCCCCCCGCCTCTCTCAAGATATTATCGAGAAATGTATTCAAAATAACTGTAAAAAATACAGTGCTACAACGCGTCATCTATAGTGTGGACGAATTTCTTGATCTAGACTTGGGAGAGGTAACAGCCGCAGGGTCTGTTTAATGTTAAATAAACACAGACTGGTTTAGTATTAGGTTTTAAGCTTTAATGTAATGTACTGTTTCCTATTTTTATAAGATTTTAGTGTAATTATTAATTATTTGTACTATTTTTATTTTGTTTGTTCTACATATGTATTTATGTTTAATTATCTTTGATTTTTTTGACATGTTTTGTCTATCTAAGAGTATAAAATAACCCACCCCATGTTTCTTAGGACCCATTAGGACTAAGACTAATGTTAATATTACTATATTACTATACTGATTTTTGATTTTGATTGATTTAATATTGATGCGCTTTGGAACCATGACCGCTAGAGTTTGGTAACAGTAATTCATATTTTTGGGATTAGGACTAATGTTAGGTGTTAGGGTTAAGATCGGAAGCATGAACCCACCATAATTCCATACAATGAATAGATTTTATTCATTCAGTCCTATAATCCACAACATATTCACTCCGGCTCTTCCCAGGTTAATTCTTCCTAACATTCCTTGTTCTAATTTATTCACATGGTAAATAAAAAATAAAATACTGTGGAACAGGTTATTATAACCCTAAAAAAATAACCGTCCATTAAGCAAATACATTTGACAAGTGTGGGAAAAATACCTTAACCATTTCAAACATTTTTTCCCCAACTACTACTCTGTAGTGGGGCGGTTTTTCAGTCACTTCTTGTATAAAAAGACTATTGGGCGTCAATGTTGGGACTTTATCAATGGACTTAATATAGTAATGGCCACTAAAAGATTTTGTATCGGGCATGTTAGGTGATGGCATCAGTTGAGTGTCAAGGTAGGAAGCTAAAAGATGCATAACAATCTGCAGAAAAGAAATTGTTTGTTAGATGACAATGTATCATTAAAATGAATAGTCTTTTTCTTGCTTACTGAACAGTCTGTGGGTAGCGAATCATCCCAATTCTTTCCATTGTAGTTTCCTCCACCAGTCCACCTAAATTCACTCATACAACCACCTCTTGACAGTTCTCTAATTCTTTTCAACAAGTAATCTTGATTGGGATGTAGTTCCAAGAAAGGAATTATTGTGGATAGAGAAGGTATAAAATGAGTAATCTGACTCTGAAATAAAATGAATTAAAAAAGAAAATTTACAAAGTATTAATATTACCATTTGAGCAGTTTTTCTGAGTCTATCCAGACCTACTGCACCAATTCTGATGTCTATCATGCCATGTTTTTCTAGAAACTCATTTATAACATCGAACTCCTTAACCAAGCGCTCTAAAATAGTTTGAGATATCCACTAAAAGATGTAAAAAGGTTAAAACTGTCATTGAAAATATTATAAGTGCACTAACAATTCTTAAGTTCTCATTCCATTGTGTTAAAGCTACAGTATCTACATTGATTCGAGTCCAAACTTCAAGTGCTGGCACATTGCCAGCTGCTTTATCCTCAGATTTTGATGAAGGACTACTAGCTACAATATAGTATTTTAAAATTATTTGTGAACAATTATATGCATACCGGGTTATGCATCGGCTCAGGACATATTATGACATCCCATGTAAATTTTAAAGGTGTGGATTATTGGCTCGACTATTGATTTTAGAAGAAAGTTTCTATGAAACTTTTTAATGTACTGGATTAGATCAGGCTACTTATCAACTATGAAACTGCTCTGCTTAGTCATTTTTAAGTTATTTGCAAAATTATTATATTAAAATATGACAATGACATTGATATATTTTTGAAGCATTGAAGTATAAACATAAAACATTTTTGTGCTATGAAATAAAGTACGAAATATTCAATTAAAATGAAAGTCACTATGATAAAATGATACTATGGCGCAAATCTATACCAACAAATATTTTGTAATTTTTTTATCATTAATTCTTTCCATTATATTGCAACAAAAGTTTCAACGATAACAGTTTATACATTTCTGGGGGCTGGAGTGTTTTACCGTTGTAGAAATTACATTTTTTAAGGACCTAATTTTGCAAATAACTTAAAAGGGCTTAGCAGAGGAGTTTCACAGTTGATCAGGAGCCTGATCTAATCCAGCGCTTTAAAAAGTTCTACTCAAAGTTTCTTCTAAAATCAATAGGGATTACCTATTGTCCTGAGCTCATGCATAACCCAGTGTATATATTTTTTGTATTTACTTGGTGATTGTGTAGAAAGCTGGTATTGACTCTTCTTCAAGAATGAAGTCATGTCTTTAGCAGTTTTAGTGATAGGATGGCTCCAAAATAAGCTCAGTAGATTGGTAGGATGCTGAGATTTGTTTGCCAACTTATTAGCCTATAAATATAATTAATACTGATGTTTCTTAATAAAATAAATACATTACATTTTCTACTTCTTCGTAGTCTTTTAAAAATTGATTTAGACTATCTTCATCCTCAATGTTTTCCACTGTAGATATATTATGATAAGTTGATATTGGGGATTGAGGAGATTTACTAAAAAAATTTGAAGATTTTCTGTTCGACACATTGGAATATTGAGATTGGTTCAGATCTGGTGTTCCCTTATGATAAACCCATGATGGGGATTGCATAGAATAGTTTACACTCATACCTATAAAAATAACTACTAAGTAAATACAATATACCTATTAGCAATATTTTAAAAATTACTGTCATTGTGTGAAACATTCGATCTCCAGCTTAATTGAGAAGCATTTACTGTTGAATGTAGAGCAGGTGATGGCACAGGACTTGGTAAATTGGAATTTGTCTTCAAAGGAGTTATGATTTTGTAGTTAGGATCTAAATAATACAGAAATTAAGGTATTAGAAAAAAAGGTAGATACATTTGATTACCTGAATCTTTCACTCCTAATAATTTCTTTTGTTCCAAATTTATATGTATTTGATCAGTAGATGTAAAATAAAGTTTAGTAATTTTCCCCAAGTAAAAAAGCACATTTAAAGTAAAAATTATAACTAGGCTGTATTCTATATAATGATAATAATTCAAATACATAGGACAAGTTTGGGATCTGCAAAATGACTGGTTTTAATAAATAGAGTAAGAAAAGAAACATAACTTACAAATCATATACCAAAAGAGAAAGGACTACAGTATTTACAATGAACCAAAACAAACTGTCTTTGATTTTATGTCTTTTTCTGTTTAAAATTAAGCTCCTCTCTAATATTCCTGATGTATTTCCTTCTGTAAAGCTAGTATTTGGTCTATGAAAAAATCAGATATTATGATGTTATATATAGAACAAGAAATAAATATACTTACGGACTCATGGTAGATTGTGTATCTTATTTATTAGTTCCCAGCAAGAAAATAATAATGCCGTGATAATAGCTTATGAGTAAAGCGCAAGGTTAAAAATAGTTTAAAGTACTGTATTATTTATATTTTTTAATAGTAGTATATTTTTTAATAGTTAATTTTTTAACAGTTTAAATTTTGACACTTTACACTTATTATTTTGTGATTGTGGTTTATGGTTTATATCCGTTTATATCAGGTTTAAATGGTTTAAATCAAGTTCATATCAAGTTTATACCAGAGAACTTAGGGTGCATCCACACCAGGGTTCGGAAAACTACATGTTACTTTTAAAAACTACATAAACTACATTACATGTAGTTAATGTAGTTTATGTAGAGGGTGTAGTTTATGTAACATATGTAGTGTTGGGAAAATTCGAATTAAATAATACGACTAATTCGATAGTAAATTAAAACTAACTAATTCGAATTATCTTTTTCGATATAATCGAGATAAAAATTAGTAGTATTTTATATTATATCTGTGGTTAACCATAAATGAACCTTTGAATAAGAAGTTTAATAGTGTACTTAAGCCATAGAGGAACTAATATTTCTCTATGTTTTGGGATTTTGGGTTGGCTATAAAATGACAAAAATTCATTGTTCAGGCCAGATAGTCATAGTAGCTTAGGCCTTTAAATTAATAAAAAAAAAATAATTGTCAATATGTCAAGCCGTGATCACAAAATAGAAATCAACCAGAAGGTTGACTCCCAAAATGCGCGCGAAACGGTGGCTAACCTAAAAAATCCTTTTATGGTTGTTCTGGGTGTGAATATGATAATCTGAAATCAGCTGGGTTTACTGTTTAGATTTTTCACAACTCAAAAGTCCATAAAATAAAGGGACGTGTTCAATCTGCTCTTTAATTACACAACCACAGAATATACTAACGAAAAAGAAGCCCAAGTTCCTTGTAATAAATCGGTTCCATTTTCGTAACGCCATCTCTCGACATAGCTGACATTATAGGTTAGCCAAAGGGGTGCGGGGCCGGGGGGAATTGTAAAATACACTTTTTTATTTTAATTATTTTTATTCGCTATTTGCAATTTTATTTTTAAAACATATTATGTGAAACAATCACATAATATGTCTTAAAAATAAAATTACAAACACAAACAAAAGGAATTAAATAATCTGAAGTTTATTGATAAAAAGTTAGGCTATGCAAATTCATAAGTATATATTAAGTATAACCTCTTTGGTATAACATTGTTAAACAAACATTAACAAATCATAACATATCAGATCATAGAACTAAAAAAAGTACTATTACATAAAAACAGGTGATACAATACTTCAAAATTAATTTTAACATAATATCAAAACCGAAAAATCAAACTGCAAACACAACCACACTTATCACAACAGAAATTAACACACACTTCCGCGGCAAATGTCCAAGAAAGACTGATCATTCTGATAGGCATAAAATAATTAACTAGAAAGAAGTGTCAACTCTGTGTTAAATCGTGGAAACACGATACGCCACCGAAAGCCTTCGTTGTCGTCTGGAGAACTAATTTTCCAATTGACAGGTTGACATGATAAGGACATGATGGCTTAATTTTCATTTCCGTTTCCGGTTATTCAATGGCGGGTCCTCTTTCAGTTCAAATGTATTTTGTATTTTTACTTTTCATAAATAAAACCAAAAATTATTTATTCACATATATTTATTTGAAATATGGAACAACGTGACTAAACAAATATAAAAATATAGAGGATTGTATTGTTTCAATACCAATTAGTTAATTATATGTACTTTTAACGTAAATTAGTTAAGGTATAAGCATGACTTACAGTAATTTGTAAATAAAACACACGTATTCGCAGACTTCAAGGACAGAAAACGGACACAGGAACATGAAAACAGGAGCCTTATACAAAAACCTGAAAACAGAAAAACAATTTTTTTATACTAAAATTAACAATGTAAAAATATCAATAGGTATAAAATATAAATATACTGTTTAAAAAAGCGTCCATTATTCCCAAAGAGACCTGGCTTATAAATCCAAAAAGAAGCAAAAGAGACTTTTTTAGTCGGATAACATAATCAGATTATCAGTCCGATTTATTGCATTATTGACAATAAATCGCACATACTGGAGATAACTAATGTTGGCTATAGTTAACAATGATCTTACCTTGCTGTAAATTGCTTCCATTTTCAGAAAAATCGCCGATCAAAGATATTATAATACCCTTTTCTTGCATCTAAAAAATGTAAAAACAGTGTTTATTTACTACCTATTTTCATATACATGGGACATACCTACTACTGCAGAAACGTCGTTTTCTCCAGGATTCTTCATGTAATATATATTTTATATACTTTATTACCATTATATTTATAAATTTCAGCCGAAATATTAAATTGAACTTCCAAAACAGAAACTAAACGGAATGAATTAAAATGGCGTCGAATATTTTCGAATTTGTTCTAGAACAAATCTGAAGTTGTCTCTGAAACTGAAATCTGTCAATTCTAAACTGTGAAGTTAGACAATAGTTAGACAAAAACAATGCTGTCCTTGTCTAGGCGGCCATACTTGTCGTGAGGAGAATGACAGGAATGACACTAATGACTGTTTCCAATTTTCCTATTTCACTGTCACCCCCTGCTGATAGGTCCTGGTCCGGTCGTAGCTCACGTCGTATTGTCGGTAAGCAAAATCCCTGTCCAAAAATTTTGACGATCAGCGCCATCATCCGTCATAACTGGGAAACTTTTGCTGGAACCATTTTTAATATTTTACTTACATGGCCCTGTACACAACTAAATAATTATTCTACAATAAAATAATTATTGAAAAACACGTTATGTCTTATTTGTCAGCCGATGCCGCTCTTCTTCTTCTTTTCTTCTTGGCACCGATAGACTTCGCTCGGGATTCTATGCACAGCCCTAGTATGGATGGGATTGTCGATATCGATCCGCCACACTTTATGAGCGGGTAACACCTGTCAATGTAGCGGCGTTACCGGTTTAATCAGGGCCGGTCAGGGTTTAGTTGAATTCAAGGATATATAGAATAAGGATATTCGACTGGCCCAAAAAAAACGTGCCGTATTTTGTCGAGGAAGACGATTTCGTCACGACCAATGGGCGTCGAGTATTTGAAATTGAAAACATATAAATTGACGGTAACCTATGTTTTTTGACTCATTTCACTGACAAATGTGATGACGATTGTTATTGTAATTTATAGATCCAAAATCCAAACGTTTTTTGAATAAATAATTTATTTTAAAGTTATTTCCTAGAGGTTTGGTTTGGCCTTCTATATTCTGGTATTTGTCTACTAATAAATAATATCTTATTTTGTATTTCGATGTATGGAAATTCGCAAGTTTTGTATCTGAAGCCGCAAAGAAATTTCGCTCTGTAGTGAGAAAAATGTTATTATATCTTTTTAGACGTGTAGAATTACAAAATTTCTTATTTCAGATGTTCTAAATGTGAGTGCTTAATGTCAAAAATTAAAATATATACTTGAAATATTATTTCAAGTTACATGCTTTGACATTGTTTGGAAGTAAACAAATATTGAAGAAAGTGTTGTGCCTTCACAGAATTTAAATTGGCATTAGGAATAGATTTCCTTGATTTAGTAATGATATTGCTCATAGAAATTGATGATATACTATTTTATATTCACTCGTTCAAGTGCTGATCTATTTTTAAATTGAATATTTATGTAAATATTATGTATAACACGATATAAATAATTTAAGGACATAAGAAATTAATATTTCAAGTGTCAATATTGATTATTTTTCCAGTTTTATTCAAATATATTGAAATTAATATGGAAACAAAAGTTCATAAATATTATTCTTAATAACAAGAATTGAGATTTGGGGATAAGTTTGAAAAGCCATGTCAGAAGAGTAGGATTAAAGACAAGTATTAAGGTAACATATATTTGCATAAGTTTTAATAACACTGACAATTTTATTTGTTTATGTTTATTAATTAAAATTTAGTTGCAATTTATTTCATATTCTAATATTTTTGAGAAAATTTTACTTATATACATACCTGAATATTATGCTGCTTTTTTATTTTAAAGTGTGCCGACTGTGCTGTTATTTTTATACTAGTAATATTGTATACTGTAGGTATCGTATTCATATATAGTTATATATATATATCAGTAGTATAGATACTTACTTTCTTTCTATGCGTACTTATATCCTTTATAGTCTTTCTAAGTGCATATAATACTACTTTTTTAAGAGAAGGCAGTTTTTAATAATCTATTGTTAATTCCCCTAATTCTGTGTCCCCTGGTTCTGCTATACAACAATTATATATTTTTTTATCATTACTGATTTTAAAAGTTTCTTTTCAAAGAATTTGACCATATATTTTTTTTTCAGAGTAATTGGGCTGTTCCTGAACAATATTGAATATAAATATTCAAAAATATGATAAACTGCATATCCTACTAAGTAGATCAATACCAAAATTCCATTAGAGAAATAAGTTAAAATTATGTTTTACTTGTATAATTTTCTTGCTATTTGTCCACCATTATTTGTGACTTAGAAATTAAATAGTCAAAAAGAATTTAGTACCAGTTTTTATTTCCCAAAAAAATTAATTGTTAAATAATTACATATTGCTTAAGATACAGTATATTATATTGTGTTTATAGTTGATAATTCTAGTTCTTAGTTGTTTATAGTTGATAATTAACAATATTTCTGATGTTAGATATTATATTAGATAAAAAATTTAATTACCAACAGCTACCTACCTATGTAGCTGCAGATTATTATATTGTGTAGTAGGTACTGTATAATTCTTTAGTTCAAGAAACAAATATCAGTACAAGTATATAACCAAAAAAATGTTGATGCAAATTCTTTGTATAACATACGTACCCCTATGGTATTCAACTTTTCATTGTTCTTTTAATTAGATCACAATAAGCACATTAATTCGTTTATTAAACAACCAAAACTCTAACTACTTAAATTCACAATATAAATATCACAATAAATGTATAAGCTTTGATCAATTCCTATTATTAATACCTGACGACTTCATACTTTATAACTACCAATGGCTATCCTACTAACACACTAGCCAACTAATAATAAATCTGTTCTAAAAAAATACAACATAAAGACATCGTTATTGCAATAATATAGAAATATATTCCATGTATCATTAACTACCTAGGTATAAATACAATACCCACATCTTCTTTTAAGCGAATAGTGCATTAGGAGGCAGAAATATTGCCTGCATTGTACATCGTACAAATTGGCTAGAATTTATTAATATCCATTGCAAACATTTCTCTTTCAAAGGGTCTAAATGTTTTGTCTTTTTACTGTATCCCTGTAATATGTTATCAATTAACAACAGTTATCAAATATAACCTGGACAATAATAATTGTTTTAACTTTTTTTCAAACTAAACTCTTTAAACAAACTATATAAATAAAATTTATCTCATAACCTAACTTGCTGCTAGAATTTCTTTCTTGTTATTCTATGTTCCTGTATTGTTATTCTTCACATTATCAATTTCTATGAGCAATATTATTACTAAATCAAGGAAATCTATTCCTAATGCCAATTTAAATTCTGTGAAGGCACAACACTTTCTTCAATATTTGTTTACTTCCAAAAAATGTCAAAGCATATAACTTGAAATAATATTTCAAGTATATATTTAAATTTTTGACATGCACTCACATTTAGAACATCTGAAATAAGAAATTTTGTAATTCTACACGTCTAAAAAGATATAATAACATTTTTCTCACTATAGAGCGAAATTTCTTTGCGGCTTCAGATACAAAACTTGCGGATTTCCATACATCGAAATACAAAATAAGATATTATTTATTAGTAGACAAATACCAGAATATAGAAGGCCAAACCAAACCTCTAGGATATAACTTTAAAATAAATTATTTATTCAAAAAACGTTTGGATCTATAAATTACAATAATAATCTCATCACATCTGTCAGTGATATGAGTAATGAGGTGGTAATGAGTCAAAAAACATAGGTTACCGTCATGGTACAAAGAATACAAGGTATGATATTGCGCAGGTTGGTCGCTACGTCACAGGTGATAACAGGCGCTATTGGTCAGCACGCTCCGCGCGCCAGTTCAAATCGTCAAGATATTGTTATAAACCTGTTTTTTTGTTTATATACCGTCATTGAATTATCGCTAAGCAAGTTACTGTGGAGCAGTGCGTAAGGAGTCGGGCTAGGAAGCGAGAGACCGGAGTTCGAATCTCGGCCGGGACATAACTTTTTATTTATTTTTTAAATACTGTTGTATTCTATAGTTTATTTTTGTAGTATAAAAAAAAGAACTATTTATTCTGTTATTTTTTAATCTCCGGTATTAATATAAATTGATTGTTGGTACAATACCTCATTTAATATAAAATAATATTCTACTTTTTGAAATGTATCGGGCCCTAATTGTACCTAAAAGTAATATATTTTTAGTGATATACCATATTGTAAATAAACTATTTAATATTTCAGTCACTTAAAAAGTTAATTCGCATTGAATAATTGCCTACCATTAAGGAAATTTGAGCTATATAATCCTTGATGGGCATATTCTGGGTATGCAAATACTTCCTTTAAATTTTGGGTGTCGTTCAACCGATTTATTCTCAAAACCAGAAACTTCTACATATAAAAAGAAGCAGAGGTCACTAATTATAATAAACTTCACCCTTGGTATTACTTCCACTAATTATAATAAACTTCACCCTTAGAATTACTTCTATCACAATTACAATACGTTCATCTGCATTGGCATTTTCTACTTTTCGATGGGAAACAATAAACTTCCCAATATTTTTTAAATGATGTAACAATTCCTCTTGTGGTTACTTTTCCATAGATATCCTCAACTCTGTCCTCATGTGAATTCAGAGGCAATGAAAATGAAAATTATTTACCATAAACATCGCAAACTAAAAACCTAATAAACAATTTTATACCGAATATAGAAATAAATTCAGTATTCTTACCTATCGTCCAAATCCATGTTAATAGATAATTATTATTTTTAAATATATTTTTGGAACTGCTGGTTTTAGTAATTATTAAATTAAACGAACTAAAAAGTCTTAAAATAAACAATTCTTAACCATAACCCCAAAAATTGCAGATCTCCTGTCAACTTTCTTTATTTTTTATTTATTCATTATTTTCCTAGTGACGTCACAGGTGGTATGCGCGAACTGAACGAAATTGGAGCCGCTATCGATCATACCTTGTATTCTTTGTACCATGGGTTACCGTCAATTTATATGTTTTCAATTTCAAATACTCGACGCTCATTGGTCGTGACGTAATCGTCTTCCTCGACAAAATACGGCATATTTTCCTACATAGCCCGCTATAGGGAGTTGAATATCCTTCTTCTATATATCCTTGGTTGAATTCTAACCATCGCGTAATATGAATATTAATTTTGACACATTTTGATAATTGACACATAAATACGAATTTTAAAAGCGGAACAAATAAAAATAAATTATTAATAAGGAGAAATAAATAGATATTAAACAAATGCATAGATTGTTTTATTTTAAATACTGTATTTACCCATCTTAACACAATACTTATTACCTATCTACCTAATCATAATTTTATTATTATAATGAGCCTGATTTATCTGGATAACATTGTGTTCAAGCGAAACTTTCCCAGCATTAAAAAAAACATTTTTATTTTGATAATGTGTACTCAAAACGCAGAACGTGCCTCTAACAAATAAATTCAGGATTGTTACACTTTAGAACGTATCTATAGCAACGCAATTCGCGTAATTTCCCAGACCATAAAAAAGTAAAAATGAAAAAATCAATTAATTTCTTAGGCTTCCCTTAGGAATATAGTAATTAATACAATAGACAATGATATGTATGACATTTTAGGAACACAACTTACTGGCCGCAATTCAGAATTTGATGATGATGCTGCAGGTAAATTATAGTTTTTATCTTTAATGCGCATAAACATATATTCATTTCAATTTCAGAATCATTAAATATTATAATAGAAAATCCTGTAGAACATATTAATCCTGTAGAGGAAATCACCCATAATGGTAATTTATTAATAAAGTTTGTTTTACTTTACTATTCAAGTGAAATTCTAGATCCAAATGAATTGAAAGGAGTAAATTTAATAGAAGTTCCAGCCGTTCCAGGTCCCTCGAAAGCTCAACATATCTGGAGTCACTATACTCCTGATATGTTAAAAACTCCCAAATCAATTCAACTTTGTCCAAGTGCGAAAAAAGGTAAAAACTTTCTAATAAATTAAGTTTTAATTTGTCTATAATATATGTACATTACTGTTACTGATATCACCAACACTTTGCAGAAAACATCCTGTTGCTAAGAACCGTAATGTGATAAATACCATGTCAGCTGGTGTTAAAGCATGATTTCTAAAAATAAAAGCTTAAATAAGATACAGTAAATATACATAATTAAACTTACTTGTTTGTTTTAGATGCAATTAAACCGGAAATTTCCTCTATTAGAATTAGAATTAGAATGAGTGGGAGGGGGGTTAATCACTTCGACCTTACAGATCCATTGTGTCCCCCTTTCTTGAATCATAACTCATCATACAGTCCCAGGGCTTTGACAAAAGCCAGTATCTGGGACGGTTTTATAGAGGGTAGTTCTCCATCTCCAATATCAGTCGTACCAAAATTCATGGCACGAATGGTTAATGTCTCGGCGCACCTCCAGTGATGAGGTGTACTGGTGTTTCACTATCTTTCCCCATGAATTCGTATCTGCCGTTTCTTCTTAGTTTCAATCTACTGAGGTGTTCATTGAGGAGACAGTGTCCTGTTAAAACCCGTGACAATCCGAAGATTGTTCTACTCAGACCCAGGAAGATCTGTGATTTTTCTTGATCATAAGCCCTCAGAAACTTCTTCGAGTGTCCTAGGACCATTGCAAGATTTCCATTCCAGGTTGGTGTGATGGAATCTTCAAGTTCTTGAGTTCCGCCTTGAGTTGGTTACCACTTGGAAAGCAGAACGGTTCTGGTCCAGTTAGTGGAGGTTCTGCCCTTCCTAGCTAGATTATTTGCTTTTTCATTGCCTCTACCTCCTTGGTGAGCAGGGCACTCAGTGCAGGAGGACTTTGTTTTCTTTGGCTAATTTATTCAGCTTCTATGCATTCTACCACCTCGAATTGATTGATACTGAGTTGATCGCCTTAATGCTGCTTGACTATCAGATAAGATGGCTATTTCTTTGTTTCCTGATAGTTCCTATCTACATAAGCTGTACGCATCTCTCGATAGCGTAGATTTTCTGCCTGTAGGATAATTAGGTACCCATTGTTCGAGTACTATTCTCGGCCCAAACACCTCCGATCCCCTGTTCCTGCATTGGTTTTGGGAAGCATCAGTATACCGCTATGGCATGGTCTTTAACCACAAGCGTTTCGCTCTTCCAATCCTTCATTGCTCAATACTACATTGACATGTTTGTCAAAGTTGTACGTTCTTGGCATATCGTCCATTGGGAGTTGCAGAAGTGGTATTTCCTTTTTGAGGGTGTTCCAAGCCCCTGATCTGACAATTCTCCCAGTACTAAGTAGATAATATATGAGAGATCCTCCTCCTCAAAATACTCCTCCTCGTCCTCCTCCTCCTCCTCCTCCCACCACTAATTCTACCCTTTCCCCTACTCCTTTTTATTTCCAGTATATTTTGATATTTATTCTAAGATTTTCGTTTATATACCTAGCTTGAACATCAGTAAGAATAATATCTAGTATAATCTATATATCTAGCATAATATTTTAAATTATTAATAAAATATAATTACCACATATTAATAAATAAAAATACTTAGTTTACAAATGTTTAACTTAATACTATATTAATATATAAAATTATAAAATTTTAGAACAGTAACTTAATAACTAATTACTAAACTAAAATATATAATTCTAAAACAATACAAATAAAATTATAAATAGTAACTTAATAACTAATTACAAAAATTAAAATATATAATTTAAAAATATAATATAATAAAACAAAAACATAATACATATCAAAAAATAAATAAAATAATGCATCCTATATATTACTACATTTCCACTGATGGTCGAGCAGAATGGCTAGATTATGCTGAAGCCAGAGACATAGGTATATACATATGTGGGTCTTTAGAGGGTAGCGAATCTCTAATTCATCAAGAGTGATGCAATACAATAAGAAAAATACTAGTTAGAAAGCTGATACAAAAATATACTGATTTCCATCAAACTGTTTTTCATCGAATAGTTTTAATTAATCAAAAGGATTGGTGAGGCTACACGGCGAGATCTTTCATCGAGCCGCCCAAACCATCCGGATCATATCGCAATAGTCTTTCGGCGCTGTCTCCATATAGCGGTAAGATGTAGACGGTAGCACCGTCTCTTATCAACGTGGCGAAACATTGCAACTTTTGGTGGGAAAAACCGTTAATTCAAATATAGATTCCTGTAATTTGATTTATTAGTATGCTATTTATAGTAACAATGTATTTTAAATACTGATTTCAATTTTAAAATTATTTTCAACTCCTCCTCCTCCCCCTACTCCGATACAGCGGTCCTAGCCGGCATTGAACTGTTCGCTTATAGGGACGTACAGAAATATCGATATTCTACTTTTCGATATTCTACTTTTCGATATTTCGTTATATTAAAAAAGTCTTTCTATTTAGATAATAACTATCGATATCAATCGATATTAAAAAAATATGTCGATTCATTCCTACTTTTTCTTCAACGAGGAAGATAGGGTGATATAAAGAAACAGAGATATTCTTATCCCCACTTATTTTTACTCCCACTATATCAATGTCTAGTCATATATAGTAAAAGCCACTAAAAGTATTAGTTCAGAATGGCCGAAGAAAATAATTTACAAACCCTCTCTCAACAGACCAGTTTTACTATTCAACATCAATCTATACTTAGTATATTACAATCTCCTCCTAGGGAAGAAGAAGAAACTATAACCTGCGAACAATATACAAAAGAAAATATAGAAGAAATTAAGCGACTGTTTTGTGCTATTTGTCAAGACATGGTTGATTGCTACGAAACATGTGTGCCAAATACATGTTCACACTTTTTTTGCTTAAACTGTATATTAACATGGAATGATGTACGTTACGATTCAAAAATGACAACTAAGTGTCCACTATGTGGTTTACATTATAAATATTTAGTGCAGTTTCGAAAAGATATAATTAGATATTACTTTGTCCAGAGTATAAAAAGGGGATTAAAATAAATGTGACTATAAATATTTGCAGTTTTATTTCACATCATGTAAAAATTCTATTGATTTAACACAAAACCGATTAAACCGATTGATATTTCAAAACATTGCTCATCTCTAATATAAATATAAAATTTAAAAAATAAAACCAGTATCACAGGTTCAACGATCTCAGAGAGAACCGAGAACAAGATACCTGCAGATATAATCTCAGATCGACCTCGCCTCTGTCGACCAGTTGCTTATAAAAGACAAAGGCAGTCAGATGGTTTGGTTGTAAATTTCGCACCCATTGCAATAAAATTAAGGGTATTTTGATAAACATTATTTGTGTTAGTTAAAGTTAATATCTATAGTTTTGGTAAGTTATAGTTTTACATATTCATCTAATAAAATTAAGACTTCTATTCAAAAACTTGTCCAGTTTTAATTGTATTTTACATTTAATTTAAAATAAAAATAACATTCTTCAAATTTAACTCGTAGTAAACATTAAAATAGTATATAATATATAATAGTATAACATATATTCTATTATAATTAATAGAATAATATAAAAAAATAAAAATAATATAAAAACACTCAGATAAATAGATTAACAAAAAAGATAAAAAAACAGTCAGTAATCCCACTATGGACAAATCAAATAAATAATAGTAAACACAACTAAACATTAACCACAGTAAAATTAAAATAGACAAACTATACTAATAAACAGATAAACTACAAAACAGACAGCATGTCTAAATTTAATTCAATATTCATAAACAGTAGAAAAAATATAACCAACAAACACTCAACCACAATAAAACAAACAAACAAACAGATAACAAAGACGCTAACAAAACTAATTGTCTAAATTTAATTCATACATATAGTAAAAAAATACAACCAACAATAAAAACAAACAAACAACACTAACAGACAGGTAAACCGCAAAACAGACAACAAACACACTAACAAAACTGTCTGTCTAAATTTAATTCACATATATAGTAAAAAAATACAACCAACAATAAAAATAAATAAACAGATAAACCGCAAAACAAACAACAAACACACTAACGAAACTGTCTGTCTAAATAATTTAATTCACATAAATAGTAAATTATAACCAACAATAAAAATAAACAAACAGATAAACCGCAAAACAGACAACAAACACACTAACAAAACTGACTGTCTAAATTTAATTCACCATGGATACATGAACAGTAGAAAATCACAACCAACAGTAACTAGAGTAAAATTAAAGTTCATCAAATTAACATAATAATGAGTTGTAACATAGAATTTTTTATAGAACTAAAGTACCAACATGTTCAATTATACATCTTGTGTTAAATCTTTTAGTCTTAAACATCATATGAGAGTAGCTTGTAACTAGTCAAGTTTTTCAACTGATGGCTTGGAAAGTCTGCTGAAAAAAGGGTAAGACTTTTTCTCACTGTTTTACAATTTTAGTCTTATAAATATTTTCTTTTACAGAGAGATTTTGTGAAAATCGGGAATCACATGACAAAAGATCGATTTTCGGCAGAATCAGGTAAATATTTTTTTACAGGTAAATATTTTTTTAAATGAATCAAAAAATTAATTTATTGCTAGTTTAAAAAAACTCAAATTGATAAAGGAAATGCTGAAGAACTAGAACTTTTAAAACAATGTTTTGATACGTTAGTGGATTCATTTAATTAAATATTTACATTTTTTCATTTATTTTTTTAATTAAATTATATTTATACATTCTTTTTCCAAATTTAACCTTTCATATAACAGAATAAAATTTAATAATAAAACCATAAATTTATTTACAGAATAAAATTGAAAGATGTTTATTTGCCCATCCTGTAAAAAAAACTTTACTCGTAAAGACAACCTATCTCGCCATTTAAAAAGTGCCTGCAACAAATCATCCTTTCTAAACAGATGGTTGACAACGTCTACACCTGAAGAAAAAAGTAAGATTTTTTATGTTATAACCTTTTGAAATTAACAAAATAATTGTATTTATAGAGAAATATTGTGAAGAATGCAAAGAGTCAATATCACAAAATTTATGGTTTGGTCATCTGCGATCAAACACACACAAAAATAATTCTAAAATAATTGAACAACCTGGAGTACAAATTATTAAATCTGCATTCAAAGAACGAATAATAACATATAGATTATCTATGGAGGAGATGATCTTAAATGTTAAAAATTACTTTATAAAATTGGAAAAAAAGATTCTTCGTATATTTGAGGATCAATTAAGAAAACACACATGCCTTAAAATTAATATGGAGCTTTTTGGCTATTATTATAATCCAAGTACTGATAATCATGATGTAAAATCATTCAACACTCCATTTAAAGTCATTTGCAATAGTGCCGAAACAAAGGATTTGATAGAAGAATTTGTAACAGTTATTGACAATAAGGCAGATGAGTTTGCAGAAAAAGATTCGGGTAAGTGTTTAACTTTAATCTAAAATATATATGTAATTAATTTTTATTTCTGGTTTCAGGATGGATCTTACTTAATTTTATTCATTTGGAAATTAACATTAATAAATTCAATCCTTTGAGAGCATCATCATTTATTGAACTACCTCCTGAAATAGTACGACGTCAAGCTGTAGTTAACATAAGAAATAACGATGACTACTGCTTCGCATGGTCCATAGTTGCAGCTCTTCATCCTCCAACAGGTGTTGACTTTGTTACATCATCATACCCTCATTATTCAACGGTTTTGAACACTGCAGGTATTGATTTTCCAATAACATTAAAAAACATTAAAAAATTTGAAAATCAAAACAATATTTCTATTAATGTATACGGTTTAGAAAAATATTATAATAAAATTTCTAAAAATGAAGAATATGAAATAATTGGTCCTCTACATTTCACAAATGCTAAAAAAAATATTCATGTTAATTTATTATTGATAAACGATGATGATGGAAATCTTCATTATTGCTACATTTCCGATCTTTCTAAATTAATTTCTAAACAACTTAGCAAACACAATGGTAGAAAATATTTATGTGAAGGATGTTTGCAATATTTTGATACAGAACAAAAATTACAATACCATAATAGTTATGATTGTGATCATGTTAAAATTAATTTACCTTCTAAAGAACTAGTTAAAGATAAATATGGAAATGTGGCATATGAAAATATATTAAAATATACAAATTATCAAAAACAAATGGAAGTTCCTTTTGTGATTTATGCAGACTTTGAATGTATTTTAAAACCATTAAATAATAATGAAAATGTAGAAGATCCAAATAGTTCATATACTGTAAAAAATTTTGAACATATTCCATACTCTTTTGCGTATTATGTCAAATGTTCATTTGATGATACATATTCTAAGTTTGAAAAATATAGAGGTTTGGATAGTGAAAAAGTTTTTATAAATTCTCTAGAACAAGATGCGTTAAATTTATATCAAACATTTTTAAAGACTCCTAAGAAAATGAATACTCTAACTGAATTAGAACAAACTACACATAACAATGCCACAAAATGTCATATTTGTGATAAACCACTTTTAGGGGATAAAGTTGCCGATTATTGTCACATTACAGGCAACTATAGAGGACCAGCTCATTCTTTGTGTAATATAAATTATAAAATTCCTAATTTTATTCCAGTTATAATGCACAACTTACGTAATTACGACAGCCACCTATTTTTAAAGAATATGTGTTCAAATAAAGAACAAATATCAGTAATTCCACAAAATAAAGAAAAATATATTTCCTTTGAAAAACATATTCATGTAGACAATTATTTTGATAAACATACAAGAAATTTAAAAAAAAAGAATCTATCACTTAGATTTATCGACTCATTTCAATTCTTATCATTTTCTTTATCTAAACTTTCAGATACCCTCAAAGATGAACAATGTATAGAAATAAGAAAATTTTTTAATGATGAGGAACATTTTAAACTTATTCGTCAAAAAGGTGTGTTTCCTTATAATTACATCGATAGTTTTGAAAAATTAGAGGAAAAATTTCTCCCTGAAAAAGATGAGTTTTTTAATAGTTTAACAGATGAACATATTTCTGACGAGGAATATGAAAGAGCTCTTAAAGTTTGGAAATTATTTGAATGCGAATGTATAGGACATTATTCAGATATATATTTGCTATCTGACACAATGCTTTTAGCTGATATTTTCGAAAATTTTCGAAAAACATGTTTGTCTACTTATAAACTAGACCCTGCACACTTCTATACTTTTCCAGGGTTAAGTTGGGAAGCTTGTTTACGATTTACAGGCATAGAACTGGAATTACTGATAGATCCAGATATGATACATTTTTTTAAAAATAGCGTTCGTGGTGGAGTAAGTTCATGCATAACACGGAAATCTGAAGCAAATAATCCTTTTCTTTCAAAATTTGATGCAACAAAACCTAATAAGTATATAATGTACTATGATGCAACAAACTTGTATGGTTTTGCAATGTCCCAATATCTGCCAACAGGTGATTTTGTATGGTTGTCAGAAAAAGAAATAAAAGATCTAGATATTTTTTCATTTTCTAATACATCTAGCAAAGGTTATGTTTTAGAAGTTGATTTAGAATATCCTGAACACCTTCATGACTACCACAACGATTTCCCTTTTTGTCCAGAAAATTATAAACCACCTAATTCAAAATCTACAAAATTAATTCCAAATTTGTACAATAAATCAAAATATGTTATTCATTACCAATTTCTAAAACAATGTTTGCAAAACGGTCTTAAGTTAACTAAAATCCATAGAGTGATACAATTTTCTCAATCTGCTTGGTTGAAAAAATTTATAGATTTAAACACAAAGTTACGTAATGAGTCTAAAAATGAATTTGATCGTCACACCTTTAAATTAGCAAACAATAGTATATATGGAAAAACAATGGAAAATGTGGATAGGAGAGTTGATGTAAGACTTGTTACCGAATGGGAAAAAAACAAAAGGAAAGATGGGGCTGAAAATCTCATTGCAAAACCGTATTTTAAAGATTTAACTGTTTTCTCAGAAAATTTAGTAGCCATACAAATGCAAAAAATATCGATTACATACAACAAACCAATATATGTTGGCTTTTCCATATTAGATATTTCAAAAACGGTTATGTATGATTTTTTTTATAATTTTTTAAAACCTTTGTATAAAGATAATGTAGCTCTTCTGTATACAGACACTGATTCATTTATACTTGAAATTACAACAAATAATGTTTATCATGATATGCATAAAAATATTCATAAATTTGATACCTCCAATTATTTGCCAAATATACACATGAGATGCCTATAACACAATCAGTTGCTGGTAACTTAAGGATGAGTATGCTGGAGAACATTGAATCTTTTATGGTAATGGGGCAAAAGCATATTATGTGAAAACAGAAAAAAAATGGCTTTATTAAAGAAAGCCAAAGGTATAAAAAAACATGCTATTAAAACCAATTAGATTTTTATTCATTATAAAGATGTAGTAGAAAATAATTTAAAATTTTTGCTCCATGTATGTTTTTCGTTCTAGACTACATTCAATTTTACTGAATTAATACATAAAATTGCATTGAATTCTGAAGATAATAAAAGGTATCAAATTCCACATGATTTTAAAACACTTGCTTGGGGTCATCATGATATTTCATTTTACCAGTGGAATGCAGATAATCCAAACCTCGATATATTTTTTAAATAATACAATATATTTTATAGATATATAGATTTATACAGGAACAAATATATTTTTATGTATTTTAGTTTTAACATTTACCATAAAACTTTACACAATTATGAAAAGTTGTACTTATTAAAAGTATAATGTATTAAATAGCATTCTACTCTGGAATGATTTAAATTTAATTCATAATTCCACTTATGAGTGTTTTAAACTTGTTATAATTTATAGATATTAGTTGTAGATTTATACAGAAACAAATATATTTTTATGTATTTCAGTTTTACAATATTTTTTAAATAATACAATATATTTTTTATTTAGTTTTAACATTTGTCATAAAACTCTTTAATGGTGTGAAACATCAAACTTTACACAAAATAGTTCACATAGATTCATACAGAAACAATTATTTACCTATGCACAAGACACAACACAAAATAAAAACGAGTAACGAAAAACTGAAACCATAAAACTTATTTGAAGTGACTCATATAATTTTGTTAAATAAGTAAAATATATTTTTACATAATGTACTTTAGGTTATATACTATTTACATTGTATTACTATACTATTTACATTGTATTACTATACTATTTACATTGTATTACTTATTAATAATATACTTTTATATGAGTTAATGCATTTTCAATGAAAAATATACCTACTTATAGAATACATGTTTGACAATATTTCATTTCTTATTAATCCTTCTTAAGATGTGTTTGGAAAGTTTTGATAAAGATATTGATGATGTTACTTATAAAACCTTTGAAAATCGACTTTCTACTTTTAAAAACTGGAATGGAAAATTGGAACCTGAGGTATTAGCAGGAGCAGGCTTTTATTATATTTCATATAGTGACGTATGCAAATGTTACTATTGTGGAACTGAAATTTATGAGTGGACCTATGATGACTGTCCTATCGAAGAACATCACAAAATTTCTCCATTATGTAATTTAAATGAATGTCTATGGTTAAGTCAAAACAAAAAAAATAAGAAACAAAAATTCAAAAAATCTAATAATAATTCTTTGGAATGCATAATTTTGATGATATTATTATTCATTAATTTACATCTTTTTTCAACATATATTTCTTATGCTAATAAGTATTTATATTCATCTATAAAAAAGATATTGTCAAATATCATTTGGTAACCATCTTGAATGGAAGTAAATTGTAGATAAATAAAATTTTTAATAAAATATTTACTTTGTTTCAATGGCTCCTCAAACACATTTTATTCTCCTTTATTTCATATTTCAAAATGTTATTTATGTTCATTATCCCCCCACTGTAACCCGATGTGAAATATGTTTTTCGAATGAAACAAACATTACACTTGATAAAAATTGTCAATTTATGAAAGTTGGTTTAATCAATAATAATACACTTAGTTTTATATATCCCATCAACAAAGGAGAAAATGTTAGTAGGTTTTTTAAAATTTTATATCATTATTCAAACCAAACCATTTTTGATACTAATTGGATTGAAAGAACCGAATTAAAATATACACATTTTCAAAATGAATCATTCAACTATACTAAATTTATTAATGAAAAAAATAATGGATATAACATTTTTAATATCGTTAATCTCTTTTTAACTTTTACTATATTTTTGTATATTACAATTTTAATTATCTTTTTTTATTATAAATTTCAAACAGGAAATTTACACTTTCAATAATCAATTTCATTTAAAATATTGTTTCGAATAAGCAATGCGCATGAGTTGACGATATGAATAGGTGGGGTATGAATTGGTAGGGGTTCGAATATTAAAGTAAGAGGAGAACTTAATATTATTTAGTTCATTCACCATGTCTTCTAAAGTTTTTGAAAATCTTTTAAATTCAAAAATTTTCTTTTTGAATAAATCTTCATCAAAATTTGTTATTGTTGGTATAAGTAATCAAGACTTTTCACCGAAAATTATAATCGGTGGAAAAAATGGTTTTTCTATAACTCTAAGTGAAGAAAGTTGGAATAGTTTTTGCAATCATCGAGGAGTTATTGAAAATTACTTCTGCTTTCCCCAGCAAATTAACGAACCCATGTTGAATATAGACAACTTTAAATTATATTTTGAGAAAGTCAACAGTCTTCCTGTTATAAAAATTAAAGAAGAATATTCAAGATATATATATTTAGGATATGAGTCTATAGAAACATTATGGCGATTAAAGGAAGTTGTGGATTACAGAATTTCTATTATAAAGAAACAAGAATTTTCACTTTACTTTAAAGTATTCCAAACCAGCATTTCAATTCAGGAAGGTGATCCTATTGATAATATTTATCGCATTTTACAACCCAATCAAAATCCCAACAGTGAAAATGTTTCAACCATGTTGGAGTTCCTGATACTGTACCCGGAGGAATTGGAAAAAAGGTTGAAGAGGAATGAACTCAAAAGAAAATATTATGAAGAAATCGGTGACTTTTCAGGAAGAGAAAAATAAACTTTATGTGTTAGTGCAGTGTAATTTTGCTTATAAACAAGCACGAAAATGTGAATTTAGAACTTATTATTTAGATAGACTTCGTTTTGAAAAACGAATTAATAATTGTAAGATTATTCTTGATCCAATACTAAGCAAAGAACACAGAACTAAAATGTATTTAACACGATTTGCTAATACTTGTATTTAACCAAATATTAAATAAAACTATATTATATTAATTAGTGCTTTATTTTATTTTAAGTTACATAAAACAACTATACAACATCATTTTTATTAATCCATGTATTAAACTTTTTATCTAATCCTAACCATTTTACATAAACTTTGTTTCCCTTTTCTTCTCTGTGAATTTTTTCAATCGCTGCATACATCAGAGTGTTTTGCTTTCTGTAACTCTTCTGTTCATAAATCCACCCTGAATTCTCATTTCTTTCATCTTCAATTATATATGTTCTGGGATTTGTCATCTTAACTTTTTAATTCGAAATATTTCCATTTGACCAATTTGGAGTGTAACCTTTGAAAATGCCTCATGATACTTGCTTTATACGTACATGATCTCCAACTTTAAATTTAGCATGTTTTGAATCTACTGTTTTAGCATGAGTAAAGATTGATCTTAAAAATCTTCTTTTTCATTTTGTTTATTTATTTGGTTTGGTTTCATTCAATTGTTGAATTGCCTTGGTGTTATTGTAACCTTAACGATATCTTGTAAAATATTAAGCCATCTATAATTTCCTTGCAACCAAACATTTTCCACATTCTGGTTTTAATGTTCGGTTTAATTTTTCAACTACACTTGCTTTTAAAATTGGAAAACGTACTATAATGTGATTAATTTTAAATCGATCCATCAGTCTTTGGAAATGTTGGTTGAAAAATTTGCACCCCTATCCGTTTGCAAATTTTGTGGGTTGGTTTTAAAGTAAGTAATATGCGAGGTTCATTGTTGTGGCAAACATCCTTACCAGATTTTGCTTTTACAGGTCTCTGCCCAAAACATTTTGAAAAACACATTTATAACAACTAAAATATATCTATAACCCCTGTTAAATTTGGAATATGGTTGCATTTCTACTAGATCTGCCTGTAAAGATCATTTTGTCCCTTTTAACAATTACCCTTCTTCGCATAAATTTTTTCTGACCTGTTTATGCAACTCATTAACTACTTGTTCCTTAATGGTTGTCATGGTTTCTTTGAAATTTTACCAAAGATATTTAGTTTTGAGGTTGTCCACAAAGCTTATACATCTCCATTCTTTAATTTTGTATTTGTTCATCCTTATTAGTTTCAATCAAAATTTCATTAATTTTAATTATTTCTTTGACTAGGTTATCCAGATATTCTTTAACTGTTGTTAATAGAAAATCTTTTCTTTATTTGCAGAATTTTCTACTCTTTGCTCTCACTTTTGTTAGCTCTTCATGCAATATTTTAGATAGTATATATAATTTGTGAAAAGATTTTCTATATATTGTCTACTGTCTAGTACATCAACTAATTTTTACCATTAAGAGTATCGTTTATAAGTTTACTTTAGTTTGATGAATATTATCAATATCATCTTTTAGATGTTTAATTCTTTTCTTTTTCTGATTTTTAATTATCACTTCTCTAATTTGAGTGTTCATGGTCTTATCAATTTTCATCAATATGAGCATTTTAATTTTTTTTTATTTTCTTCTTTACATACTCTTTTCAATGATTCTAGATTCTACGTAAAGTTCATCCAATTTTAAATCGAACTTTTCTAAACTGGATTTTATTGTAGAAATTTCATTTTACTTTTATTTCTATCTTCACTTTCCAAATTTTTTTCTGATTTTAATTTTGTAATTTCAGCTAATGTATTATTAAATTGCTGTCTTAGATCTTGTAGTTCTTCTATGTCTTTTTTATGGTTAACTAAGTGCATATTTAATGCTGTCGCTGTAATTTTTTCAGTTCTGTCAATTTTATCATGAACATTCTTAAAATAAGCTACTTCTTGATTAACTCTTTCGTAAACGTTGTTTGTGAAATCTTCAAATTTTGTTTTAATGTCATTTTGAAGATTTCTTTTGATTGATTCAATTTGTGATGTATCGTTAATGGAATCTTTAATTTGTTCTATTTCTGTTTTTAAATTATTAATTGTTTTTA